AGCCCTGCAAGGCTCACACCGCGCTTCTGGTTGGGCTAGGTAAGGAGAAAGGCTTGGTAAAATTATTAGTGGGTTCCCTGAATTTGGGTTCCCTGGAAGAGCTGCGTCGGGCTGTAGCTGGCAGAGATGCAGTCTGCCCTGAGCTTTGGAGGCGCTTCAGGAGGCTTGCTTTCTTCCCTCTGGGTGCTGTCTTCCTCTGTCGGACTTCTGTGGCTGTTTGACATTAGCCCTGCTGGAGGAATTCAGAGCAGCGTGAAGTGAGCATCCCCCATGTGGAGGAAACCTCCAGGCTACTACTAGGCTGATGACCATCTTCCTCCTAACTGGGCCCAACCCGCCAGGTGCACACCTGGGAAGGAGCTGTGTGGGTTCTTGGTTGTGGTTGCGGCAGTTTTTCCTGGCACTTCCGATATGACCTCACGTTCAGTGGGGCCAGGTTTCACACTCCTTAGCCATCTTACTTCCTTATGAAAAACAAAAACACCCAAGGCGATGTGTGCTGTGGCTGACCTGTATTGGGAAGAAGCGGACAGAGCAAAGGTTCCATCTACTGTCCTTTTTTTGTTTCTTTTAAAAGATTATTTATTTAGGGCCCTCCCTGGTGGCACAGCGGGTTAAAGCACAGCACTTAGAAGCTAAAGCCACTTCCGCATGAGTTCAATCCCTGCCCCGGTGGTGACCCACATGGCAGGCAGACCTCTCCTGACCCACACACCCGCTGCTCCCTTCAGCAGTGTACTATGTCAGTTGGCCTGTTCTGCTCCCCACTCTGTCTCTGGTGAATCCTCTCACTGCCCCTGCACCTTTTTTTTTTTTTTTAAAGATGTATTTATCTATTTATGCATACAGAACTGGGGTACAAGCCACAGGCCAGAGGTGAGAGTGAGAAGCAGAACAGGCAGATGTACTAAAACACACTGCTGAGGGGAGCAGCGGGTGGATCAGGAGAGGTCTGCCATGCCATGTGGGTCAGCTTCCTGGCCAGGAACAACTCCCTCTTGATTTAATGTCATTCTGTATGTGCTGACCCCAAAATAGAACTCAGGCATTTTCACCTGATTCCCCAGACAGTATTAAGGTAGTATTGTGCTTAAAATTTGCTGAAGATTTGGGAATTAAGTTTGGGTTATATTAACACATAGATCACAAGTTGAGAGACTCAGGTCTTACTGCCTTAATTCTCCTGAGCAAGCTTATCTGACTCCCTATAGACCTATAACCAGATTAGATCATTCTCTGAAGTCCTTCCCTTTGCTCTGTCTCCATGCTCAGCTGCTTCCTTGATAGCTCCATTCTGGTATTGTTAGAAGGGTCATCACACTTAGTATATTTTTGGTGAGCTTGAAACAGTAGAAAGTTATTGCTGGTGAGGCTTTTGCTGCTGTATGACCTTGCAACTGTGGGAACAATTGACTGAGCTTAATAAGTTGTGACAAGAGGGCAATTCCTTTTGAATTTGTTCCGTCATTCCTTGGCCTCTCTGGGCTCTCTTCTTCCATATCTTTTTATGACATTTCCCCAAAATGTATTTTTTCTGTCAAGATACTCTGTGAACACATAGAGGGATGATAAATGTTGTGTAGGTTTCTTGCTGTCTTTCTTAGAAGTGAAAACAACTCAGTTACCGATAATGATCAAGCCAACTCTGGTATGGTACTTTTTTCTTAAGCTGCAGGTAAGTTGCATGCTGGGGCATATTGGCATAGTGAGCCCATTAAAATTTCTGTATTTCAGAACATTCCAACTTTTTCCTCTGTTTTTGTCATTTAGTTGTGTGGTAATCAGGACATATTTCAAGTGCATCATAGGTACCTTTTAAGAGGTTTAACTAGATTCTTTTTGCTAGAGGCGACTCCAGCAAAGACACTCTAGTACAGGAGTATTTATTCCACAGACACTCATTTTTCTTTTAAATAACTTTTTTAAAGATTTATTTATGCATACAGACTGAGGTACAGCACAGAGGTATGGGGGCCCTGAGAGGATTCACCTGAGACAGAGTAGGGAGCAGAACAGGCAGATTGACAAAGTACACTGCTGAGGGGAGCAGCGGGCGGGTCAGGAGAGGTCTGCCGTGTGGTCACCTTGGAGGCGGGGATTGAACTCACACTGAAGTGGCTGCTGCCAGCTGGCAGTGCTGCGTGTGTCCTAACCTGTTGCACAGCCAGGGAGGGCCCAGACACTCATTTTTTAATCAATAAGATACACAGTTAAGGATTACCTAAAGACATACTTAAAAGATTTCCAAAGCAATATTGTTTATTCTGGTGAAGGCTTAGCTGTGAAAACTTGAATGTCCAGTATAGGGGATTGAATAAGTAAGTTGTGATATATTTGCACAGTAAAATGGTATGATCTGCTTTTTTTGTTGAATTAAACCCACATACTTATAGTTTCCATTTTAATAATTAGAAAAAGCACATAGAAGTTGTTACTTTGACCTTCTTTCTTTGAGGTCAACAATAGCCATGACTGCACTTTGCATGGTGAAAGGAGTCAATCTGTCAAAAATCTCAAATTCCATTTTAAAGAGCTTGGACTTACCTAATATTTCTGAGTAAGAGAATGATACAATATTATCTACCAAGAAAGTTATCTTGGTAAATGCAGCGGGGTGAAAAAAAAAATCATAGCTGGCATCCACAAAAAAGAGAGGTTTATGATGTACTAAAAAAAAAAAAATAGTGATGGAAGGGGGATGGTGAAGCATTGATGGTTTATACAAGAAGAGACAATAGAAAAGGAGACTGTTATACTCACCTAAATAAAACTGGAAGTTTTGAATGAGAAAGAGTAGGTAGGGAGGAAAGTAAAGAGAAAGAATGAGGGGCTAGACCTTGGCTCTGCGGTTAGAAACCTGTGAGGCATCTGTACTTAATCCAAATTGCAATAGGAAGTCACCTAAGAGTCTAAGCAGAATGGGGCTGATCTAAGTCAAATAGAAATTTAAAAGATCTTTTAGAATTTTTGTGGCTTATCTGAAAACTTCCCTAACAGCATCTCTGCATCCACTTACAAATTATTTCCTAAGGATAAATTCCTGGAAATAGGGTTGTTGTACTAAAGATAATACACATTTTTAAGGCATAAGAAATATATTGAAATAATTTAGTCCTTTATTAAATTATTGGCTATGGACCATAACAGGTTTTTGTTTTAGTATAGTGTGTTGGTGGTCTCTGAGACACTTCCCCCTCCCCTTTTCTGTTTTAAAACTATTTTTTTTCCCATAAGAAGAAATTTATGAAAAATAGAAAATAAGCTTTGTCTGAGAACTGGGACTGTGTAATATAAATTCTTATCTTTCTTAAGGGAATATCAGTAGAGACTGTGAATGCATTATGTATACCCACAGGAAAACCTTTAAAAAGGTGAACATGGATTGTGCTATTTATGCCTCAGCAGTCATGCTAGGAACGTAGGAACCTGTGTGAATTAGGAACTAAGTTTGACTGCAGATGACTCAAACCTGAAAAACAACCAAATGAATGACTTTATTACCATAAACTGAGACCAGAGCTGGTATATTTCAGAAGGTCATTGTAATGCCAGCGAGGCACAGGACAGGTTCTCGATCTATTGGGGAGACAGGTAAAGGAGGAATCCTGGAGCTCTCAGTGGATGTTTCAGGCTTTTAATGATCTTTCTACACCATTTGTAGTGAGGCAACCAGGTGCAGGCAGGGCACACAGGGGACTCTGAGAGTGGGGGTGGAGGGTTAGGACACTGGCAGGCCTCCCACCCCCCAGCAAATCTTTACTCTCTCTGGCAATCTCTCGTCATGGTCTTGTAACTCCAATGCACATGATCCTCTATGTGCTGCTGCCCTCATGGCCTCAGCCTCCAGGCTCAGCTGTGCCCACTTACTCATGCCCACACTGAACTCCAGGTGCCCACCATCAGGCATGCGCAGTCCAAGCTCACACTCCCAAATGCCTACCACTTAGTGATAGCCATGAGGCCAACAGCACAGAAGCCTGACCTTTGCTTACCCTGCAGTTACCAAAGGTTGGGCTCCAGTCTTTCCATATAGGAGGTGCTTGCTGCTCACAGGACCTCATGGCGGTTCAGGGCCATTGTCAGGCCCAAGCAGGAGTGAAGAAAGAAAGGTAAAGGGCGAAACGCATCTACTCTCTGGGTATGAGCTGGGTATGTTCTTAAAAGCCTCAAGAAAAAAAAATCTGCTTTTATATCATTTACTAAAACAGGGATATCTAATTTGCAAAGGAAGCTAGGAAATGTGGTCAGTGTAATTAGACTGTGTTAACTGGGAAGATGAGGAGAACAATGTGGGTAGACAATTGGAAGTTTCTGCTATCTGCCCAAAGATGAGGACTTTGCTTACAAGTATGGATGAGCAATGTAAACATTGCTGCATGTGATAAAGGCATTTTTATTGGTCACCTATTGCTGTGTAACAATTTACTCCAAATGTCAGATTTAAAAGCAACACACATCTTACAGATTCTGTGGGGCAGAAATCCAGGTGTGTTTTAGCTGGCCTTCGGAATTAGGGTGTCTCACAGGATGAGTGGAGCCAGAACTGCGTCCCTGCAGAAGCTCAGTTGAGAGAGGGTCTGTGTCCAAGCTTATCCATGTGGTTGCTCTCCAGATTCCATTTCTTACAAGCTTGGAATAAAGGCCACAATTTTTTGTTGGTGGTTGACTAGAGGCCTCCTCCTCAATTTTTTGTCATGTGATCTTTTTCAGTCACAGCATGGCAGCTGGTTTTCATTAACCTGAGCAAGTGTGAGAGCCAGAAAAATGGCAAGATGGAACCTCAGTCTTTTTATGACTTAATCTCACAAATGCTATCCTGTACCTTTGGCTGTATTTTGTGCATGAGAAGCAAATTGTTAGATGTAGCTTAGACTCAAGGGAATGAAGTCACCCAAGAGCACAAATACTAGGAAACAGGGATCATTGGGGTCATCAGGTATGAACACTGCAGTGCACCCACGGAGATTACCCACAGTCCACCACCGAAGTCCACCACCGAAGTCCACTGTGTATTTTTCAATGTCAGAATTTGGGAGATGTATGTCAGTCCTTATTAGCTGCTATACAAATGAATACTTCTGTATTTTCATCCTTCTGTATCTCCACTTCTGTTAATTATTTAGTTAGTTATTTTTACATTTTCATCCTGTTAATACTTATATTCTAAGTGTTTTAGTGTTTCATCACAAGTTGAGCCAATGCAATGTGAGAAAATTGACTCCAGACTCTGGAGTGATGGACATTTATGTTCTGCTGGCCTGAATGTGTCACCTGTAGTAACTTAGCAAGCAGGTCCCTGTACTCAGTGAACCAGAGGCTCTTGAGGATGTAACTGAAAAGAGTACTATTGTCAGAGCCTCCATTTGGTAAGGTACTATGAGGAAAAAAGCAGAGGAAAGTCTTCCCTTTTGAGAAGACAGCCCAAAGATGTAGGATCTTTAAGGACTCAAAAGGCAACTGTAAGCAATGAAAGCTGGGATTTAGAAGGCTTCAATTAACACAGACCTAGT